GACTTTTAAAATTAGTTTCCTGCGGTATCTATAATCAAGATTATTTGATATTATTCTGTGTGCGTTCAAATGTTACCTACCTAAAGACATTTGAACTCAGGTGGGGAATATCTCTACAAAGTCAATTAAATAAGTTCAATTTGAGTGAAAGCTGAGATGGTGTGGCTTGGGAGATTAAGTATAGAATTTCCAATTTAATGCTTTGAGTGTGTGTGTCTTAAATCTGTATAACAGGCTTATTCTGGGAATTGAAACCCTATTTAATTTCTTACAAAATGATGGTCCTGCTACCAGTACCCTTTAAGAGTTAGATCGTTAGAGGTTTTTTTGTTGTCCAAGACTAAATAACAAATGAAGAAAACACTTGGTCAAATATAAAACACTACAAATGTATTTCTTTTCTCTGGGTGACAGCAAAGGCCATCGGCAATAAAAATGAACTGCTAAGTTTCTTGCAATTCCCTGAATATGGATTTAATATACAACACATGCATTTCTTAAAACTATTTCTTTTCTACTGAGAATTATTCTCCCCAAATACCCACCCGTCAAAAAGAAAGGTGGCATTATTGATTTTCAGAATTCTTATTCCTGTTACATGAGTAAGCAATACAGGAGAGAAAATCAAAGCCCAAAGAGAATTGGCACAGATGGCAAAGGTTGAACTCACAAACGTGTGGTCTGAAGGATCTGTGATCTAATGCTGAGCAATAAATCCAAACAAGTAACAACTGGAGAAAAGCAATATGCCAAAAAAAAAAAAAAAAGTTAACATTTCAAATAAGAGCACAGTCTACTGAGGGCTCCAGGCATGTTTGTGGAGGACATAAGGCCTGGAATACATAGTTTATGGGTAAATCCTCCTCTGAAGAGACAGCAAGACGCCTTACCCGATTGGGACATGGATTTTTTTTTCCCCAAGAAAGCAACTGATACTCAAAAACGTCAATTTATTCATATGTCCTCTCAGTTTTAAAGCAAACAGCCAGTGTAATCTATCTTTTCGCTGATGCAACCAGCTTGCCTTGGAGGGTCAGACTTTATCTTGTACTGTCAGCAAAAGTAGACACTAAGCAGCTGGTGGGGGGCACTTGAATGGGAAGCCAAAGAGGCTAATATTTTAAACCAGGACAAAGGCTAAGGATTTTCGGACTTACTTTTTTGAGAGAAAGGAATGTATGTATCAGGTCTTTTAATGACTGGGATTTCGAGGCACTTCTTGGGGACTGTGGTGCAGTGCCCTGCCCTGGCCGTTGTGATGTGATGGAGAGCGCTCTGGCCCCGGACAGACTTTCTGAGCCGCCTCTGGACACTTTACTTTCTAATTTGTGAAACAGGAATAAGATGTCCTGCCTACACCTCAGGGTTGCCACGACAGTCCAAAGAGCTACTCATAATAAGATCTCTGCCAGCTACCTGCCGTTATAGGTCTGATGCGATACCAGGATTTGTTCTCTGGTGTCACTGAAATCTCTTTAAACCCCCACATAACTTTGAAGTTGTTATTCCCATTATACAGGTGAAGAAACAGAGGCTTAGAGAAAAAAAAAAAAAAGTTACCCAAGATCACACACTAGTAACAGGGCTGGGATGAGATTGCAGCTGTGATCCCCACACATTCTGGAACAGTTGGACATGTGATTTTCCACTTTTCCCTAAAACAGCTACCTGCTTCTTTCTGTGGCTGTCGCTCAGCTGCCAGCTCCAGGCCCTCTTTGAATCATTGTGACTCAGTTCTTAGGGAAGCAAGCCTTAATTATCATGGGGAGGGAGGGGGACCCGGAAGGCTGCATCTTCCAAGAATTTGGCAGACCCCAGCAGGAGGCAACCACAGGTCCTTGGCAAAAGATCACTTTTCAACAACATTGTCAATTCCAGCGACCCCCGACCTTCCACCTGCAGGCCCCCCGCCCAACAGCTGCTGTTCTGTGGGAAGCAGTGGCAGTCTGTCTTCCTTTAAAAGGCAAATTCGTACCCCCCCTCCTCAGCCCCCTGCTGAGATCCCACCTGAGATTTCATCCCCAGAGCTGGGGGTCAGCTCCCACTTGGAAAATTAAGGGGGGGGGCGGGGGAAGGCAAGCTGGGGGGTGGGGAAGGACAGTGGCTTTGACAGCAGACCTGAACTCTCCTCTTTAATAGAAGCCAGATTTAACATATGTCCTTCTGCAAATCCGGGAGTCCAATTTGAGGCTTGTAATTTGCTGCGACCTTCCCCGGTCCTCCAAGCGAGGTGGAGCTATGCCAAGCACATCAAGGTAGCCAGTAGAAGATGTAATTTGCCCGCTGTGAGCCTTCGTTTCGGTTCCCTATTGTTAATTTTTATTTGTGTTGAGGTTTTGTGGCTTTAAAAAAGTCAACTCGATTTATTTTAAAATTAAGGCAAGCCAGCATCAAGGCAGTGAGAGGACGATGTTTAGGTACTAGAAAGAAGCCCTGTGTAATCTGTTATAGCCATATTCTTGTTCAGGGCACGTATCAGTAAATGGATAGGGGACCTTTCATGACCCACTTGCTCTATTTTTCTGACCTCCAGCTCCCCCCACGGGTGAAAATCCCTCTCCTCGGAGGCTTAGAAGCCCCTGTCCCATGCTCCTCAGCCCCTCGATCTAATCCTGTTTGTACCACGGCATGCTGCGTGGAGAATGAGAAACAGGGCTTACATGCTTTCCTACCCCAGGAACTCCTGACATGGGAGAGGCTGATCTGCCCGTGTTCACTTTTAGATATGAGGAACCCTTTCAGGCCAAAAACATGGGACCAAGTGGCTCATGAGTCATTTACTGGCTAAGCAGAAGGAAGCTCATGTTGCAAGTTTCTCTTAAAAAGAATGGCAGGTGATCCCAGAAGAGCTTGTTGGATTTTAATGCAACAGGATTTTTCGACCCAGACACTTCTATAGAATGTATTTGTTTATTGGCTTCCGTAGGAAATTCATGTGCCGCTCTACTAGGCATTTTTAAGTGTGGTACAGAAAGAGATAACAAAACGTTGATAGATAGATGATAGATTTGTTGTTCCTCAAAAGAGGTTTTTAAGAAAGTGCTATTATCCCCACATACAGATGAGCAAAGTGAACCACACTTGCTTTTCCTACTCTGCAAATCTGCCCCTTTAACAGGGAGTGGACTTACACTACTGAGCACAATTTATATAATTTTAGGGACAGTATATTCTGTGCTCAGTGTTATATTGGTGTTCGTGCTGTTGTGCTTCTGCTAGTTAGCCAGCATCCACACTGATCATCAGGGGGACTTATTATGCCGAGAAGGTGAATGGTACCAAAACAGCATTTTCAACTATCAAAAGAGAGGTTCTGCAAATCCACTGGCAGAAGAAAATGTATGATAATGGCAACATTTATACAGCTCAGCATGCATGTAACCCAGTATACAGTCAAGTAGCTCAGAAACCCCAGGCTTACCCCCAAGGGAAATTTGTACCATGACAAACTAGAGGAGTACACGATCAGTGCCCCTGAATTCACTGGGCTCACAGTGAATATTTCTCTAGGGCAGTTTTTGGTTTTTTGGGTTTTTTAAAGATTTTATTTATTTAATTTTACTTTAGAAAGATAGCGAGAAGGGGGAGGAACAGAGTGGGGGAGAGAGAAGGAGGGGGGAAAGAATCCCAAGCAAACTCCATGCTGAGAATGAAGCCTGACACAGGGCTTGATCTCAAGACGCTGAGATCATGACCTAAGCCGAAATCAAGAGTCGAATGCTTAACTGACTGAGCCACCCAGGCGCCCCTGTTTCCCTAGCTTTATAATATAATGATGGGGCAGGGTCCCTACATTTGTCGTTGTCCATGATTTTTCACTGATTGGATCTTCCCCAGAACAGATATTGGCTATCAGATTTCTCAACCAACATGGATTGTTGCTTATTCTGTGAGACCAGTTACTTGTAAAGTTGTGGGTCCTATGAAAAGCAGTCTGAGACATAGGAAGCACCCCGCATTTCACTTTTCTTTCATTTTGTCAGAATGGTCCTAATGGACTTTGGAATTGAGTCCTGGATCTACCACCTGGTAACTGTTCATCTGAGGATTTAACTTTGCTAAGCCTCAGTTTTCTCAACTGTAAAATGGGAATGATAAACCAAGTTCCAAGAACAGCAGAGATAATTGAATGAGTTAATGTGTACAAAACAACAGAATAGTTATGAACTTCGGGAATATGAAGTGACTGCATCTAATGGTCAAGGGATATGGGTTAGATATCAAAAAGAAGGTGATATATTTTGTGGGTTCTCCAATGGAATGTATGGGACACCCCTTGGGTTTTTGCAATAAATTAGATATAGACTCGAAACTACCTCCCTGTAGTTAACAAAATTTGTGCTCTGCACTTGTATTGAACTGTCTAGAAAAAGAATAGCTTTATTGGTAAGCATGTATATTGTAGAAGTAGACTTGGTTATAATTCTAACATATGCAATTAAATTAACGGTATCTATACACAAAGTTAGGAATGAGAAAAATTCATACTAGGTATAAAAATAATAAAGTAATCAATAAAAGAGCCCAGTAAAAGCAAGAGAAAAAAATATGTTGAAATTATGATTCATCATTATTCCACATATTTGTGACTATATATCTAATAGCCTAATTAGCTATAAAATTTTATGAGTTAACATCACCATGAAAACATTCTCTCCTGTATTACCTTATTTTATCTGTAGATGTTACAATACCATGATCGTCTTGATGTGTTTTTACACATTTTATTCAATGAGTCCAAATGAACTTGTACTAATTACCTTTTTAGCTGCCTGTCTTGGTTTTTTATAAATTTGAATCCATATGCCTTTAGGGGATGTGTGATGTTTGAGGTAGTGAAGATTTTAGCTCTTCTTATAAACATAGAAGATACGTGGGAGGAAAAAATGGCAATGTCTAAATTGCCTTTCCTAAATGATTATTTCACAGCCTTCAACTTGAGATATTTCTCTAAATGACTAAAAATATATATAGTAAGAATCCTTTCTGGATATTTTCAGAACCCCTAGTTATAACTATGCACCAAACATGGACAAGCACTGGATTATGCAGTACACGGGACCCATGCTGCCCATCCACATGGAATTTACAAACGTTCTACATCGCAAAAGGCTTCAGACTTTGATGTCAGTGGACGATTCTGTGGAAAGGGTAAGCACACAAACTTGCCTTAGTGACAGGTTTGGGTCCAGCTTCTTTTGTGTAGCTCCATTCTTGCCGATTCTGTTTTTGTTTTATTGTTGTTTTTGAGAGAGAGAGTCTGTGTGTGTATAAGTGTACGTGAGTGTCTGTTTAGTGACTTTATCTTCACTCCCTTATCTTGACCCCTTCTATTACCTCTCAGGCTTGGTTCTTTGGAGCCAATGGCAGAGAGGAGATAAAAATCAAAATACCATAAGTCAAGGGCTACACTCACAAAAACGTAAATACCTAAAGCTGGTATAAAGCAATGGGGAATGGTTGGGATTATGGTGAACTTTATTTTTTTTAATATCTTATTTATTTGTGACAGAGCAAAAACAGAGGGAGCAGCAGGCTTCCTGCTGAGTAGGGAACTGGATGTGGGGCCCAAACACAGGACCCTGGGATCATGATCAGAGCTGAAGGCAGATGCTTAACCCACTGAGCCACCCAGTTGCCCCTATAGTGATCTTTAAATGCCCACATTTATAACAAGAAGAAACTACCCAGCTCCTGATATTTTATGCCATGTAGGAAGATCGAGCTAGTATCAGGAGGTCTTCCGATTTTTTCAAGGAAGCCAGAAATACATTTTATTTGAAATTTCCTGAATTTAAAAACAAAACAACCGAAGCCAAACAAAATGTGCCTAAAGGCTGGATTTAGGTGGATCAGGCTCCAAAGCAGCCTGTTCTTAACCCTTGATAACTATTTAAGAGTGATGATAAAATTTACTTTAACAATGAATTTTTCAAAGTAAAACCTATGAGTTAGGTGAAAGAGGCTGTTTTGCGGAGTTGTTTTTTGTTTTTCTTTTTAATAGGTGCACAAAACCTTTAAGAACAATGTGCCAAATTCAAAAAAGTTACCTGACTCTTTTATTAGACTTTTTCCCTTCAGGATTGTAAGCAACTAAGAAAATGCAGACAGTGATCATGTTTCTTAGCCTTGTTAAAGTAACTCTTACCTTTAAAAAATACTGGGGAAGACATTTGGGGGGAAATCACGGCAACACTGTTGTCATCTTGCCCATCTTGTCTCCGTTATGTTTCAGCTGTACAATATGCTCGTGGAGACAGGGGAGCTGGACAACACTTACATCATTTACACCGCCGACCATGGCTACCATATTGGGCAGTTTGGACTGGTCAAGGGGAAATCCATGCCATATGACTTTGACATCCGTGTGCCCTTCTTTATTCGTGGGCCAAGTGTAGAACCAGGATCAATGTACGTATTTCTCCACTTGCAATATTTAGCAGTTGTGGCTTATGTGTATCTGAGATAATTCCATTACCAATCTGTGTCTGGTCTCTTTTCATCCAAAACAGAAAAGGGTGTAGGTAGGTTGAGGTTGGTAATTTAGAAAATGAAAACCTTATTTTCCCCTACCACATGTCAAATTAACTGAGGTATACTATTTAAAGAGAAAGGAAAATTAACTATCACTGATTAATTCTGTCAAACGAACCAGAATCCGTGTCACATGGCCTGTGCACACGGACACAGAATGTGACCATTAGGGACATCTTCTGTACCTCCTTTGAATCAGAAACACACTGTCTTAAAAAAAAAAAAAAGAAAAGAAAGAAAAGAAAAAAAAAAAAAGCCAATGCCTGCTTTTTAGTGGGTTTTTTAAAAAATTATTACTAAATAAAATTTTTGAAGAAAATAAAACTTTAAAAAGCATGATTTTCTTTTAGAAGAAAGAAGGCCTAAAGGACCAGAGTTCTATTTCTACCACCTTGGACAAGTCACTGCCTTCCTCTGCATCTCTATTTTACCATTATAAAATGGGTTTGACATGCCCTGCCGGCCACATCAGAAAGTTCTATGTAAAATAAGATCGTGTACATGAAACAGTTATGGAAAGAGTAAAAGAAAAAAATGCCAGCAGAATTCCAAATCTGGAATGGCCCTTAAGGAGTGTGCAGCCGGGTCTTCTAATCTAACAAAGAAGAAAGCTGGCAGGTAGCATAAGTGCCCCCTCAGAGTTCCTCATTCTGGAAGTGGCGACACTGGGGCCCAGAACGCAGATAGTCTGAATCTCATCCATGTGCCTCATCTGCTGCTACGTTGCACTGCGTCCTGGGGTAAGGGAGAAGGTGATGATAGTAGAAGGGTTTCTCTGAAGAATGTTATTATGTCTCTTCAGCTCATTTGAAACACTTTGGGAATTGTCTGATCTAAGTTAAATGGTTTTATGCATCGAAGACTAAGATAGAGGGGGAGAAGATTGAAGGCTGATGAGTCTCGGTGTGCAGAAAGTGGCCCTACGTGCCACCTCAACTGGTGTTAGGCCCAGGGCGTAACCATCTGACCCTTTGCAGAGTCCCACAGATCGTTCTCAACATCGACCTGGCCCCTACAATCCTGGATATCGCTGGCCTCGACACACCTCCCGATGTAGATGGCAAGTCGGTCCTCAAACTTCTGGATCTGGAAAAGCCAGGTAACAGGTGTGTCAATTTGCTTTCCCTCGGCCAGCCCCAAGCACACTGGCACCCAGAGCCAGCCAGCAGCTGAAAGAAGTGGAGTCAAAGTACTCTTTGCCCATGAGAATCACCCCAAGCCGAGAATTTCTCGGCTGTCTGTGAATAGCATATTGATGGAGCTGCAGTCATGGTCTGCGGGAAGTGAGAGGTGTTTCTTTAAATAAACTGTTAGCACAGATCCATTTGGAAAAACGTCCAGATGCCAACAGTAAATATTATTATTTTGCTTTCAGGTTTCGAACAAACAAGAAAGCCAGAATTTGGCGTGATACATTCCTCGTGGAAAGAGGGTAATTACTGGTTCCTGGGGTGCTTCTGGGAACCAGTCCTAGTGGGCAGCTCTCCCTGCTGGGTATTTTTCCCCCTTATTCCGGTTTACTAAGCATGCAGATTTCGTAAGCCTGGTCACAAGATTGAACGGTTTGCTACTCATTCTCCACTGGCCAGCACAGTAATGCTTGTTGCATCAGAACTGTAAAACATAAATTCTCATACAACGGGACCAGAGCGCTTGCTGTTGAGTTTTTCAACCTCGGCTCCTGATCGGACCAGTCCATTGGCATTCCCAGCCCTCCTTCCCGAGTCCTGTCTGGCCCTCTCCTTTCTACTTCCTTTCCTTATGTGGTTTTCCTAGTTTTAAATATACAAATCCATGAGACTATAATCTCCAGAGTCCCTGCTGGGTTTCCCCCTTTGATTCATAATCCTCATTGTCTTGTTTTTTTTTTCCATAAAAACATTGAGAGAACATTTATATAACTGTAAAGCTAAACATTTATGCCTATGTCTTGAAATTAATGCTTTAGGGAGACAGTGGTTCTTCACAGTACCCAGCTTGTAGTTTTCACAGAGGACTCAGCAAATGCTGAACTCCTGTGGACAAGGTCTTGCCATCTATTTCATGCTGTTTGAAGAATGCAGAGTCATGTCACAGGGGAGAAAAAGAAAAAGGCAAAAGATGCTGGATAGGTGATTCAAATCATTTCTCATAAGAAACTTCTTCTTTTCTGTCAAAGGAAGTTTTTACGTAAGAAAGAAGAATCCAGCAAGAATATCCAACAGTCCAATCACTTGCCCAAATATGAGAGGGTCAAAGAATTGTGCCAGCAGGCCAGGTACCAGACAGCCTGTGAGCAGCCTGGGCAGGTGAGTGTCACGGCTTGTCTTCACCCCAAGTCACATGCTTCTTCATTTCTAATTTAGAAATTTTCAACATATAAAGTAACGTACATTTATGTATAAATAAGCTTTTCATAGTGGTCATGGAACACTCACTATAACAACTTTCTTCTGACTGAGAATTATCTAATTGGCCTAAGCTGGGCCTCCTCATCACTCCTTGGGCTCCCTCTAATAAAAAAAGATGGCACCCTCAGAGAGTACTAGATATCCACCCAGTTAGCCAACACCAGTTCGACATATCAGACATGTGAAATGGGTAGCCAGGTTAGAAAGTTCAGAAACTTGGTTCCATCTAAGGAGAAGTCATTACCCCTTGGATTTCTATTAACTGGTTATCAGGAAGGGTCAAGAAGCTACTTAGTCAAGATCATGAGTAGATGCTGAGCCTCTGTGCAGTGAACCACCCAAGAGACAGGTTGGGGTCTTCCTGTCCTGTACTAAAGTCAGATGTCGTCTAACCCACAGAGGAGGATAGAATCTGACCAAGATTGGGAAACAGAAAGGGAAGCCGTATTGTGTTAGTTCATCATTTCTACCTCTGCTCACAAGATTTCTGACATCAATTATTTCATTAGAATGAATCCTTTTTATTAATAGAGATTACTATAGATGGGGCACCTGGGTGGCTCAGTCAGTCGACTCACTTATCTGACTTTTGATTTCACCTCAGGTCATGCATGATCTTGGGGTTATGGGATAGAGCCCCACATCAGGCCCTGTGTCAATGAGGAATCTGCTTGAAGCCCCTCTCTCCCTCTGCCTCTCCACCCACACCTGCATTCACTCTCTCACTCTTTCAAGTAAATAATCTTAAAAATAAAGAAAGAAAGAACTATTACTATAGAATTCCAGGCTACCCAGAACACCACCTATTACCAATAAGAACTAAAGAAATACTGTGTGATGAATTAACACAGATCTGTTTCCAAGGAAAGTGAAAACATATGAACATAAATTATTTTAAACACTCTTCTTGATTGACATCTATGCTAGCTAAAAAAAGTAGTGTGTCATCATGGTAGAGGAACTGCCTAAGTCTTTGAAACTTAGAACAAAATTGAAGAAAAGTGAAAAATAATAGTTATTACACATTTGTCTTACGTAAAGCCCCGTATAGGGAGTTTTATATGTTTTTAGCTCAATTTTTTCCTCACATCCATCCAATGAGGTAGGCATTGTTCCCATTTATAAATGGCAGCTGGTGAGTGCAGAGCTGGGATCCAAATGAGTTATATGATTCAAAAACTCAGACCACTTGCTGCCTTCCAAGGTAAGTTCTATTAATGAGGCAAAGAGAAGTTCAAATCTTTTGTGAGTCTTTTTTTCTTTTTAACTTATCTGACCTCTAGATATCCACACAGTTAGCCAATACCAGTTCAGGATATCAGGCACCTGAGAAGGAGAGTGCAGTTATTGTTAAAATGGCCTCATCAATGTAGGGCATCATATATTTATACTTGTGATATAGTATCTAGCGTATTGAACAAACATTCACGATAAACAACTTCATCCTCATACTTTCTACATTTCCTCATGCCTTTTTGTGCTCAGGGATTCCTTTGAAATAGAAAAAGGTGGGGAGGGAGGATCCTGAAGGAAAGGATAAAACTAGGCCTTCGTGGCATACTAGTAAGTCTTAATTTTCAAGTGTTTACTGAAGAAGCTTAGACTTACTCATTATATTTTAATATGATATCTTCAAATCCTTCTTAAGGAAGCTCTAAGTATGATTATGACTAAAACCTCAGACTTGTTTTGTTGCTCTAAAATGATTTTTATGAGCCAGCCTCAATAGACTAATTTACTTTTATTCGGGAGTTGGAAATGTTCCCTGTTAAATATATTTCATGCAAATTGGTGATTTTGTTACCATTTTAGCCTTCTAAGTGGCAAGCATTATAGCCATTTGAGAATAAGGTACACTGCCTACCTTACAGTATACAATTTTGCAAACCTCTCCATATGGTTTGTCCTGAAATTTTAATACATGTCCTAAAGGGCAAATGTAGTATAAACTAGATTATGGCACTTTGGCACAAGCTCTTCACTCTTATGCTAAATGCTAACTATGTTAAAAACTTCACTTTGCTTTTTCATATTTTTCTAAACTCGTTTTGCCCCCACGAAATGCTTTAATATCTAGCTCACTGGGAGTCTCCTCTGGTGCATTATTTCCATGTGAATCAGTCTGAATTTAGATCATATCACATGGATGTATGAAAATGTTACCAACAATTCCTTTTAGAAGTGCCTGAATTATTAGAACAGAGAAATCGCGTGAATGGTGATTTCTTTCTATAGGTGATGCTCAAACCCTAGCTTAAAAATCTGAGAACTTCCGGAAAATTTTGAGGCTCCTCAAGATGGTTATAGAATCTGTGAGCCAAACCTGATAGTTCTGTTGTGTTCTACAGAATGTTTATATTTTGGCCTTTTGCTTTTTCTATCTGGCTACTTTGAGGATTATCTTTTTAGTTACTATATCCGTGACTTTAAAAAAGGAAGAAGAAGAAGAAAGAAAGAAAGAAAGAAAGAAAGAAAGAAAGAAAGAAAGAGAAGAAAGAAAGAAAGAAGAAAGGAAGGAAGGAAGGAATGAAGGAAGGAAGGGAGAAAGAAAGAAAAGAAAGAAAGAAAAGAAAGAAAGAAAGAAAGAGTCCAGAATAATGAGATTGTATTGTTCTGGATCAAGGCATCAGCTAAGGCTAGAATTAACTTGCCAGCAATCTCTTTTCTTGACACTGATTTCACTCCTGGCCAGTGCCCTGCGTCTCTTCCTCTGACTAGGGTTAACTGCCTTCATTTGAAGACAATACAATCTTCTCTTTGGTTTGACTCTGTATGGGATGGAGAGGAAAAACCCACATGGTCAGCCCCATTCTCTTCACTTTTAATCTGCAAAGAGATTGTGTATTTCCCCCATCCTGCCACAGCCCCATGCCTTGTCACTTAAGGATTATTTGTCAGGGTCAGTGTGGATGCATGAAGTAGGTCAATGAAGGAAAGAAAAATACGACATCAAAAAGTTGAGGTTAGAATATTGGCATCCACTACTTTTTAGTTGTGTGTTTGGGGACTAGATTCTTTAGAGTCTCAGATTTTCTATCCCTAAAGTGAAGAAAATTAATCTCAGTCTTAGTAGGATTCAGTGATATCATATATGTAAAGTGTTAGATGAATTACAAGGCAATGTGTGAATGTTGGGTGCTATATCTGTTCCGGGCCATCTTACCTGCTTTTTCATTCCTATGAAGCCACCAGGGAATTAAAATGGGCTGGAATCCCAGACATTTGGCAATACTTCTTCACTTTGTGAACAGAGCAACCGGCAGGGACTAATTAAGACAGCATGGACATATGTGTTTGCATTACTTCTGTATTCCTGAATTAATGTGAGGCTGAGTATGAATTCCTGCCACTCTCTCAACTGACATTACACCCCCAAGCACATTACATACAGTTTTACATACGACGCACACACACACACATAGAGTACACACACCACACACGTGCAAATCTCAACTTCTATCAGAAAAGACTTTGGCTCAACAAAGAACACACAGCAGTGATGCTCAATTCTGGTTGCACCTTAGAATCTTTGGAAAATATTGATGTAGGGGCATCTGGGTGGCTCAGTCAGTTAAGCATCCAATTCTTGGTTTCAGATCAGATCATGATCTCAGGGTTGTGAGATCAAGCCCCACATCCATCTCCATGCTGGACATGGAGCCTGCTTAAGATTCTCTCTCTCCCTCACCCTGTACTGTTTCTCTCTCTCTTTCTCTTTCTATCTCTCTCTCTCCCTCTCTAAAAAGAAGAAAGAAAGAAAAATAAAAGAAAATATGTATGTACAGCCTCCCCCCAAACCAATCAGATTAACAGGTCTACAGGTGAGGCCAAGGCATCTGTATTTGTTAACAAAGTTAACCAGATGTCTAGAGTCAGAGAATATGGAGGTTGGGAGGAGTCTTAGAAATCTTCCAGTTGAATGGTAGCTTTTTCCTAATAAGGACATTTAGATCCAGAAAACTTAACCTACAAACCCAAAGTGAGAACCTGCAATTCTTCACTCTATGCTTAGTCCTTTCTGCCTCTAAAAATGTAACATAGTAGATTTTCTCTTTGAAATTATAAGTGGCATTTGGCTGGCTGGAGCCATGATCTTAGGACCCATTCACAGCATCTAGAGAAGTGGTTCCCTAGCAAGAAGGCACATTAGAATACAGAGGCCGCCTTACAAATGCTGGTGTTCAAGCTTCGCTCCAGACAAAGGAAAACAGAACCCCTGGGGATGAGACCCAGACATCAGTGATTTTTTTTCAAGCTCCTGGGTGATTCCTAGGAGCAGCCAGGACTGAGAATCACTCATGCCAGGAAAGCGTTACTATATTTTTCATTTTCTAGGTACAGGGATTGACTCCTCAAATAGGAGTTACGTAAAAGAGAAATTTCCTAGGTGTTCAGTTTTGAAGTACATTTCAGATATTCTCTGCTATTTGAAAAAAAAAAGCTTGTTTTTTTTCTTTGATAAAGCAAATTTCATGTCCTTTGTGAGTTGTTAACTTCCAGCAACTTTGCAGTTTTGTTTGCCTTTCTACTATTGTATCGATAGGAAATCAAAGATTTGTTTAAAATTATGAAAGAGCCCCCAGATGGAGCAAGCCGATACTACCTGGGAAATTAGAATGTAGCTTGTTGAATGGACTGGTTTAGCTGCAGGATTTCTGTTCTCGTCCCAAAATTATCCCTCTGACCACAGGTCCCTCCACACTTTGTGACCAGCTGCAGAGCAGGAATAAAAGGCATTTACCAGGAAGATCTGCCTAGTTTGCCAGAAACGGGCAGCCTGTTTCCAGAAACTCACTGAGCTCTGGCTAAATCTCAGTGTGGCTCACAGACACTTCTTTCCCTAGGGCTTTCCCTACCCCAGGGGGCAGCCAGGAGGCCTGGGTCCCCAGTGCCACCCT